TTTCAATGAATGCCTTAATTGACATAAGTCTGCTGTTGATAAAGAACCAGTATATTACTCTGTTCAAGGCCTTATTTGCACATCAATTCAACTTACTTTTGTCCAAAAACAAGGCCATCTGCTGCTCTGGCCCCTCAGGACCCCCTCTTGTGGATTCATCTTCATATTTTAATGGGATTGGAGTGCTGGGGTCGGCTGCTGGAAGGTCGCTTTCCTTTTTGATGCTGCTATCAACAGATTTTAAACCCTTCAAAAAAAGGAAAAGCATTCACTATATACCTAACTTCAGGTCAACTGAAAACTAAATAAAAGACAGTATCTGGACTACTGAATACGTTTAGGAAAACTTCCATTTCAGAAACAGACTTTTAAAAACATTTTGATCTGAAAGATTTGGGGAAAACGAATTTGATTTCCACTTCATGCTTAAGGAAAAAAAAATCACAGCAGAACATGATTCGGAATGACATTTAGATACCAACAATCAAGTGCAAACTGCATATCAAGTACCAACTTCTCTAGAAAGGGAAGGGTAAACTTACCTCTAGAACATAACTAAGCACGAGTCTACAGCGCTCTTCTGTGTCATGGCAAACTGGAAATGCACAACTGGGCTTTAGGAACAAACGTGAGATTATTAATATGCTACCAATGCAACAAATCCCACGGTTCTCATTTCCAAGGAATTACTACAACTCTACAAACTGATTTTAGAAATGTTTTATGTATTCAGCTTAGCGACGAATCGCTTGAACCCAAGAGGTGGAGGTTGCAGTAAGCTGAGATCGTGCCACTACACTCCAGCCTGGTGACAAAGCGAGAGTCCATCTCAAAAAAAAAGAAAAAAAAATACTGTAAGCTTTATCAACAAAAATCTTGCTTAAAAGGATCTTACAACATATATGTTGCTTTAAATACTAACAATTTTAAATATAATTCTAGTATGACAAAAAAGCAAGAACCAGAGCAGTAATGTTTTAGACAAATGTAGAAATCTAATAGGTCAGCCCCACTCGGCATTAGCAGTGAAACTAGGCAACACAGAATAAAAAATTATCATCAATTTAGAAATAACAAGTATCACCAATAGTCTCATTGTTTATTTGCTTAATTAAAGAGCAAAACCAGCTAGCAACCTCCAACTACAAAGGATATTATGTATAGGGGCCTCTATGAAGCATTTCATTTTGCTGAATTCTGAGAGTTTAGAATTTCTGTTCTCATTGTACAGAAGAGAGGCAAGCACAGACAGTTCAGCAATTTGTCTGAGGACACAGTAAGTGAGTGGGGAGGTGACACTCTGGAGCTCATGCTGACTGTCCATACTGTAGTCATTGAACAAGGATGAGGAAAAGCTAACTAAAGACATGATTATATGAATACTAAGACTGTATTATTTTGAGTGCTTCAAAGATACTGATAGAAAGTGCTATCTCTGAAAAATACTGACGCTAACTCATTACATCTTTACTTACTACCTAATTGCCCTGTAAGTCCAAGGCCTAGTGTTACAGTGCAGTTTTCCATATACATGTAACTTCTGCAATCAATTATTATAACCAGAACATTTTTCACTCCACTGTGGAAGTTCAAGCTGAAAGTGAACTAAAATTTAGATGGGCGGTTAATGACTGTTTCCCACAGTCATTTAGTCAAATATTTACTGAGTACTCATAATGTGTTCTAGACATAGGAGACAGTGTGTCTGTACCTGCAGGGAGCTTACACACTCTAGTGAAGGGAGACAAACACAAAAATAAGAACTTCAGGTACAGACAGGCTCCTTGAAGGACCAACAAGTAGAGCACATTTAAGCCAGTGTGGTCAGGAACATTTCCCTGAAGAGGCAACATTTCAGTCAAGACTTAAGCCTTAAAAAAGGCAGCCATGAACAGACCCAGGGCAGGTACATTCCAAGCAGAAGCAACAGCAAATACAAAGGCCCTCCTGTGAGCATGATCTTGATACTTTTGAGAGAAAAAGCCAGCATGGCTACAGCAAACAAATGGGGAAAGCGAAGGTCAGAAAGACTGGCCATGTTTTAGGGTGACAGAGATAGCCCCTCAAAAACTTGCTCAGATATAAAGTTTCCATCTGAAAGTTACACTCAGTGCCTAAATTAAGAGATTACCTGTAAATATGACTGTATTTCAGTTTGGTGAACAGCCAGAACTGCTAAAGCTGACCTGGATCTAATCATAGGGAGACAGTATGTGGAAAGGCATATACTGCCTGGAGATACACTGATGGTAGAAGGACAGTCAGTACAACCCACACAGGGAGAAATCTATCTGGCCCTGTCCAGGGGAGAGACATGTTCAATATGGCAGACGTGACCACCAGAGTCATGAAAAAATACTGTCCTATATAGCATAGGATAATGTACCAGATCTCAGCACATACAGCTCCAAGAGCCACCCCCTTCCCTACTCTATGTTCACCAAGTAACCCATATATATCATTTCCCAGCAACCCCAAAACTGGACAGAAGTGCCCTAGTGAGGAGACATGACTAAGACTACACACTGGTCACTGGAGAGGAAAATCCTCCACATAAGAATAGACAGACCTCTGTTTACATATCTGTCCAGGACAGGATTGCATATGTGGGTCAATTAACCTGGGACAATTATAAAACCAAATTTTAGAATTCAGAAAACGAATGATTATTAGACCCCGGACCATGAAAGGTTTCTTTAAGTAATATCTTTTGAAAGGCCAACTATATTCGATTAACAATTATGTTTCCTTGATAAAAATTTAACACAAATTCTAAAGGCTTACTCTGATTTGATGAATAGATTTGTATTTTTCTGGTACCGACAGTTCTCCGACAGACTTAATTACAGCTACTGCTTTGCTATCATCTGATGGATCAGAGCTGGTGCTATAGGATCCATTTTCGTCACTGTCGGGCATCTCTTCCTCCTCTTCACTGTAACTTTCATCAGAGTTCTCATTTAAAGGAGATTCTGAATTTTCATCCTTTTTAGGTTCATCCAGTTGAAAAAGTTCTGAAAGCATGTAATTGGCAGAAGCAATAATCTTATGAAAAAAAGAGAAATATGTGTAAATTACTGACATCAAAAAAATACAATTTTACTATCATATTAACAACTTTTAGGAAGAGGTCTTCACACAGGCTATTTCCACCATACAGACTGTAACACACAGAGAAATGTTCCCAATTCAAAGCTATCGATACTCTGGCTATGCTCTGTAAATTCTTTACAGGTTGATGTGTTTCCTGTTTCCTGAAATTATTTCACCCCTGAGCCTTCCCTCTTAAAAGGTGTCAACTGAATTTCACTGGAAACAAACAAAAGCTTTTGAGTATAGAGTGTCATAACTAAAATATTAACGAACATTAATACCACCCTAAACCAAGTGAGAAACTAGAATTTCTCTTTACAAACCAGAAATTAATACAAGTTTCTCTATAATAGGCAACTAATATTTATTATACAATCTATGATTCTAGTTAAACCCTCTCTTAAAATTAGCATTTATATATGACCATTCATCCCATTCTATTATTTATCAGTTCTTAATCACAGACAACAGTCCTAACACCATTTTTTAACATCAATATAAACCACTCAGATTCCACTAAACACGGTCACCTCGGTCAGCAATCAGATATTTAAGTCAGAAACAAAATGTTTTACTATTTTTCTTAAAAAAAAAATTGAGTTTGGTCTCTAGGATAATATTTATCTTGAAATCAAATGTGGTTACAATTAAAATTACTTTGGCTCTTCAAAGAAAAATTGCATATCCTAAGTACCTTTACTGATTTGAAAAGAATACAATTAACCTTATAGTGAAAAGTAAAGTTGTCAGTCAGACAACTGAGGGTAAGGATGGTGGAAAATTGTGGGGAGCATAACTGAGGGAATATTTTAAGAGATGCTTCCTCCACCTCTTTAAAACAAATTTTACTAGCCTTTATTTAAGAGATGCTTTAATATCCTCAAGTGTGGAATGTGAACCCTATTTATATTAACAAAGTGATTAACAAGGTCTAACAGTGACAAAGAACTAAGAGCACTACTGTTAGAATTACATGAGTTCTAAATTTATTGAGCAGTGCTGTCTAACGGAAATATAACATGAGCTACATATGAAATTTTAAATTTTCTAGTAGCTACATTTAAAAAGTAGAATCTGTGAAATTAATTTAAATATATTTAATCCAATATATATAATACCGCATTTCAACATGTAGTATGTACAGACACCCAATCTTCAAAATTCAGTGTGTATTTTATACTTACAGCACACGTCAATTCAGACAAAGCACAGTTTAAGTGATCCACAGCCACATGTAGTACCACACTGAATAGGGCAGTTACAGAATATGAGTTAGGGGGCTTTACTGTCTAGGTAACAATTCCGTTAGAATGCTAGAACTGTTTTAGAGAATGTATAAGTGTTCATCTTACTTGAGGATGCCTGCTTTTGTCCAATAGTTTAAGACAGTTAAGAAGCAATGTTCTAATAGTTCCATAGTGTTTCTTATTTTGATTCTTCTTCATCATCATGTTGCAAGCAACCCTAAAAAAAGAGTTAATATCTTTACTGCCCATTCATCATTGTCTGCAAGACTCAAGCCTAGGAATGCTCTTGTTTTTTTCCAATAGACTAAGAGCGATAAGAAACAACAAAACATTAAACTTTACACTTTATCCACCCACCCCCAAAACATTTATATTATGCTGTCCTAAGAAAGCTGAGTAATATTTGGTTCAATGTGTATGTGTATTTTTCCCCATACTATGAAAACCTAAAAGCATTTAAAAGCCTTGGTTTGGATACTGTGGCTGTATGCTTTAAAACTTTATACAAGGCTACTTCTTCATCTTAAATTCTTAAAGCACTCACTTATATAAGAGTATGGCCACTGGCATTGTGAATGGATTTTGGTATTTGTCTTCAGTTTCTTCACAAAGAGTAGTGAGGTCATAGAGCTTCACTATATCACTGCCACTTGCTGGAAAGAAAAACAAGTAAGCCTCATTTTACAGCAGCCACCCAAATCATTTATTGTTCACTCAAAAATCAGTTAACAGCCTACCTTTAAAGAGCCAATAGGTATGTCCTTCTTTGGTACAATTAGATTTCAAAAATGATAAAATATTCTGTGCAATGTCTTTTATGACTTTAGTAGAAAAATTAGAATTTTCCAAATTGGGAATTTCTTCTGTCTTTATCATTTCATATTTCTGTAAAACACAGACAGATGGAAGGCAGTTTAAGAGAAAACCCAAGGAAACAACACCTTTCTTTTTAAAAAGCAACCAAATACGTAAGTCCTGCAAATAGAGACCTATGTAGCATGATAGCGTTTAAACCAGTGGTTTTTAATCCTTTTTCTGCTCCAACCTCCCAAAGGAATCTTACCCATCCCATCAGCAATGGCAGTTCACTATTGGGGTAATTCCACTGAGAATCATGACCAGATTTATAATCTTGGGTTTAGGCATGATCTTTTTTTTTTCTTTTTTTTTTTGAGACAATCTTACTCCATCACCAGGCTGGAGTGCAGTGGTGCGATCTTGGCTCACTGCAACCTCCGCCTCCTGAGTTTAAGCGATTCTCCTGCCTCAGCTTCCCGAGTAGCAGGGACTACAGGCATGTACCACCATGCCCAGCTAATTTTGGTATTTTTAGTAGAGATGGGGTTTCACCATGTTATCCAAATGGTCTTCATCTTTTGACCTCGTGATCTGCCCACCTCGGCCTCCCAAAGTGCTGGATTACAGGTGGGAGCCACGGCGCCCAGCCTAGCCATGATCTTCTGTTCTAACATGGAACAAATCATATGGAATACTTTTACTCCACTTTACTTATTTTCAACTGGGAAGATGGTAAATGGAGGTAGACTTTACCCAGCAAGATTTTAAAAAATAAGTATTTCTGGCCTTTTCTTTTGCTATATACTGGAGTCAGTGGCTCAAGGAAAGAGAATCACTTGGGAGGTTTTTCTGATAGACACTTCTCTTCCCTTCACCTGTGGAGCAGAGGGGTATGGAAGTGGCAGTAAAAGGAAAGGCCGCGTGGACATCACTACCACCATTTTAAAAGTGCCCTCTCATTTTTCTCTAGTTTGTCTTCTGTGCACTTTCCTAAACACCTCCTACCATATTTTCTGAAGTACTCTAAGACTAGAAACTTCAAATCAATTGGGATGTAAGACCAAACACAATCGTCTGAGATTGGTTTTCACCATTCTTTGTTCATCTGAAGCCCCCAATGTTGATTATTTCCTTCCTTAAACACTCCTTTCCCATATTTTAATCTGCATGATTCTTGTTCTCCTTCTCTCTCTCTAAATGTCCTTCTCTTTTTACCCCTATGGAAAGAGGCACCAATGTTTGATTTGAATAGATTCTCCTGGTGGTGAAGTCTGACAGGATATGGGCAGATGATACTTCAATTTATTTCTGTAATGGCCAGGACTTCAAATGCTCACTAAACATTTTTATACTTTCCTCAAACTGAACATGTGACAAAAACATATTACCTTCCTTGTCTAATCAATTCAACATCCTTATCTCATTTTATGATGCCACCATTATTCTAGTCCCTAAACCCTGGAATCCCTTTTTACTTCTCTTCCTCTCTGCCTCACTAATGCTTTATCTGCCTCTTTCTTTTCTCCTGCTCCCCACTCCCAGCCAGCCCCACGCTAAATGTTGCAATTTAGGGAGATGGTATAACAGCGGTTGTCAATCAAGACTGCAAACCAGAATCATATACCAGACTTTCTGAAAAGACAGAAGTACAGATGCTACTGATACTGGAACACTGGAGGCCCAAGCAAGTACATTTTTCAAAAGGCCACAAGTGATTCTGATACACAACAGGTTAAGAATCACTGGGTTGGAATATAATGGTTCAAAGCATGTCCTCAGCCAGAGAGGCACAAATACTGGCACCACCACTCACTATTCCTGTGACCCTGGGCAACTCACTTGAGCTCCTTGATCCTCAGTCTCTCTTTCCATCAAATAGGAATAACAGCATGTGAGGTAGCTAAGAAGATCAAATAAGGTAAAGCATTTCAAGCATTTAGCAAAGTGCTTGGATAAAAAAAGCACTCAATAAATGCTATCTATTCTTACCATTGTTGATTCTTAACAGTTCCTCTCTAGTGGAAGTACATTATATTATTTGCAAAACGGTGCAATGCCTCTGGTTTTCTTGCCTCTAAGTCCTCCTTGTCTGTCCTATATGCTATCACCAAATTAATATTCTAACACAACAAATTTCTCCTCCCAATGCAAGGATTGCACTGATTCCCGATTACCAACTGAACCAAGTCCACACTCCTCAGCTCAGCATTTAAGACCTCCATCATCTGACCATGACTTTTCCAACCTTATTTCCAGCTATTCTGCTACATAAATCCTGTGTTCCCTAACCAAATTTATTATCAATCCTTTCATGTATTTACACTGGACTTCTAAAATCCAGCTGTTATTTTTTGAGATACTAGCTATCATTCAGGACTCAGTTAAGATGCCTCTTCTTCAATACCTCAATTATGTCTATTTTTTAAAACTGATCTTACGGGTTAACAAGCCAGCCTGGTGGGATATTTCCCACCATCATTTAACCAATCATGGTTCTAAAAGCGTTGTGTATCCACATGGTCTCAGACCTCCTTTTAATGATTGTATTAACTTACAAGCTCAGGTAGTATTTTTCTTAAGACCCTATCTCAGAGCACACTGACTGAATGTTGACGTGTGTAGCAAAGTGTTTACTTTCTTTAGCCAGCTCTGTAGTAGTTCTTTATGTTTCTAGCAGTCTGTGTAGTTGATTTCTTCAGAGGAAGATTTTTCACATTTCTGGGGTTTTCTTGCTTTTAGGGTGGTAAGATTCCTTTCTTTTTTTCCCCTTTTCTCTTAACACTGATGCAGGTGAGGGTGGGTGGGTAAAGGGTGTTGTTTTTATCTAGCATGCTAGTTATACTTGGGTGGGTGGGAGGAGGGTTGTTATACTGAATCTTAACACTGCCCATTAGCCCTCATGCCGGGTCAGCAAAATGTTTTAACTGTGGAACATGTGACTCAGTTGAGTCGTTTTGTTTTTTTTTTTTTTTTTTTTAAGTATACACAGAATTGGGGGAATTAATGTGGGCATGTTGCCTTACGTTAGAATGACTAAGTTAAACCTCTTAATTTGTATTTGTCCAAGGCAGACATGATAGAAGGAATATGCACTACCGTGGTAACTCCCCTGGCAGCGGAAACCACACTGCAAGCCCATCTGGGGTGGGGTGCTGCCTGCTATTTGCCATTTTTAAATGGGCACTGCCAGGGTAGTGTGAATCCCATCAGTACAGTAGCTGGGTAGGGAAACGAAGATTTCCCCCCAAACCCTTGGGCAGAAGTAAGTTTTGTTTGATTGTTCTCCCCAACCCCCCCTTTTGGCTTTCACATTTTAAATCTTAAATGTCAGGCCACAGGCATGACAGGCAATGAACAGTGAAGAACCAATGGGAAAGTGTTCAAAAACTCCTGTGTTAGTAGCTAGCAGGCTTCTGAATGTATCGCTGTGGTCCACAGAGAAGGCTGGGGAAGGTAGCAAGGAGATGCTGTATCAGCTACTACAGCCTTAAAACTAAGTTGGTGTCTCTTTGGACTTTAAAATTGTTCCTATGCAGCTTATTTTATTTTTGTTTAATCAAATAAACAAGAGGGTTTTTCCATGGCAAAAAAAAAAAAAAAAAAGATGCCTCTTCTTCCACAAAGTCTTTCTTCCAGAACTAAATGGAAGTGCTCACCCTTTTCTCTGATTATCTGGACTTCTCTGATTATATGGACTTCTAATTCTCATCTGTCTCCTACTTTTCTCTCTGCACATTATTTCCCATTAGATTATCTCTTTCTGAGTAACAACCAAGTGTATTCTTTGTTTTCCTTCAACAATTATTTATTAAATTCTAAATTTTTTATTTTTTTGAGCCGGGGTTTCACTCTGTCACCCAATACTGGAGTGCAGTGGCACAATCAGCTCAGTGAAGCCTCAAACTCCTGGGCTGAAGTGATCCTCCAGCTTCAACCACCCAAGTAGCTGGGATTACAGACGTGCAGCACCATGCCCAGCTAAGTGTGTGGGTTTTTTTCTAGTTAGGGTCTCACTAAGTTGCCCAGGTTGGTCTTGTACTCTCAGCCTCAAGTGATCCTCCACTTCAGTCTCCTGAGTAGCTGCGATTACAGGCATGAGCCAACATGCCTGGCTTCCCCCAACACTTATAAAGGGGATAAAGTGTCTTCTAAATAAAATATGCTCAATAAGAATCTGCTACATAAGCTATCTACCATATGCAATTTTTACAAGACCTTTCCCCAAAACTTTGCATGTAGAGTAGATATTTGCATAATGAAGAAATGCCTCCATTGTATAGATACTTTCAGTTAATTATAAATGAGTATTTGGCATTACAAATACAGGTTTTCATATATTTATGAACTTCCTCCAAATTACCTGTAAAATTACACTCCTATAACATCTAGAATTATGTTATCACCAACATAAATGTGAAAACACTTAAATTCAGCTTATTCACAGCTATCTTCCCTGCCAAAAATGCACCTCAGTACTTTAGGGCTGCAGAAACTTTGGTGAGGAACTCTCTGAACCAATTTGCGTTTGAGAGAGGAGAAAAATCACACTGTATCTTACCTGTACAATTCCATTTACATGAAAACACATCACAAGCTCTGGTACATTGCATATCAAGTTGTCCAACCAATAGTCAATTCCAGTTAGCACATTAATTGGTTTGTTGTTATCCCTAAAAATATACATTTCTAGTGTTATTTGGTTTAATTGAGATGTTCCTTAATGAATCATCTGAAACTTATTTCACCATTTAAGTATTTTAAGCTGTTCTCTCTAGACAGAAAATGCCATATATGCTTTCTTTCCTGATAAGGTATGCACATGTAGCTCAGTGGTTGTGCTATATTTAACATCTTTCCAAAGGCCTGCCTGTATTTCTAACTGACATTGATAAGTTTTCAGTAATAGAAGAATATATGATAAGAAAGGACTGTGGGCCTACTGCCTGCTCCTAACACAACTTGAATAACAACTGACTACCATATAAGACTATGCCTAAGCTAGAATTCACACTGGCTAATATCAACAAACACATGTAGAGCATTAAGAAAAATGCTCACAAGTAGTCAGTAGAACGTTCTCTAACTAATTAAATAAACTTTCTTGAATATTCTCACAAGTTGTAGATTCCGACCTAAGACTAGGCCAGTCCAACAAGCCTCTGGCTCTATTCAATTAGGTCTAGAATGAAGATTCAGCTATTGGACTTTCCGCATTTGTTGACAGAAGCTCCTTCCTTAATGTGGCCATTTCAACTGGCAGGAGAAGGAGGGAGGTGAAAAAACCTAGAGAAAGAGGAAGATGCCCAACTAGACGGAACACTGATTCTGTTTTTTGAGACAAGAGTCTTGTTCTGTCACCCAGGCTGGAGTGACAATCTTGGCTCACTGCAACCTGAGGCTGATGGAACACTGGTTCTAAAGGAAGAATTTAAATACAATAAACTTTAGGAGGGGTATAATGTTGGTTTACCTGAGACGTAAGCTGACTGCTGGGTATCTGCCTCCCCCAAATATGGGCATGTTGGAACCCACCAACATATGGATATCTTCAAAGGTCCATAGAATATTCCGAACAAAATCATTTTTAAGACCCTGTGATTTAAAATAGGAAAGATTATAATAAACGGTCAATCTATACTTTCCCCCCATGATCTACAGAAAGACTAGAAAAAGGAAAAGACAAAGGAGACAAAGTCAGGTCCCAGAGCTGTAAGATCACAAAGATGTTTAGAAAGCAATTTTAGGACCAAGTGGATTTTTTTCCCTATCAATTTCAACTTAGACTAGTTTTTAAATGACGAAGTAGACAGGGGATTTGGTGTCTCAAACTGGACGCCATGGAAAGCATACCTGACTGTGCTCCCCGTCATTGAATAAAGTAGTCAAGTTTTGTTCTTTGGGTGCTAAGGCCACATGCCCCACTATGTATGAGGGTTCAAGAGGCTCACTTCCCTGTGAAAAGTGCAAGGATAAGGAGTGATTCTGCTGTCAACATTTCTTAAAATTGACCTACTTTTGAAGAGCATCACCTAAATATTCAAAGCACACACGTCAAATCTACCATTGTAAATTAGGCCAATACAAATAATAACACTCCTCACTGGGTAGCTTGCTTTGGGTAATGATCCTCCTATAGGCAGCTAATCACATTTAGATCTTACTCAAGTGAGACAGATTAAAGATTATTCTAAACTTTCAAAGTTTTTCATTCTTCTCTTTTTATGGTACATCTGATTACCACTGCTCTTTCAGCCTACTCCATCTATCTTGAGTTTAAAAATTCCTAAGAAACTGGTCGGGCATGATGGCATGTGCCTGTAGTCCAGGCTACTTGGGAGGTCGACATGGGAGGACTGCTTGAGACCAGGACTTCGAATACAGCCTGGGCAACATAGTGAGACTCTGTTTCTTAAAACAAAAAAGAAATCCTAAAAAATATTCCTCCACCCACAGTTTGAGATACTCTATTATCTTAACAGTCTTCAATTTAGCATTTCCTTATGTGTGTTCCACAGAACACTAGTTCCTGGGATACTAAATGCAAATTTTCCAGTCAGGTTTGACAGATGACATTTACCATCTACTCACATTTGTGGAGTAACAATATTTATTGCTGTTAAAACAATAAATATATATAATAAGCAATCCTGCAACAGAAAAATCTGCTTTACCTTGGTAAAAAACAATGTTTCCCAAATTTATTTAATCTCAGAACACTTTTGTTCGTAAGATATTCTTTGGAATACTTTTTTTTTTGAGACAGAGTTGTGCTCTGTTGCCCAGGCTGGAGTACAGTGACGCAATCTCAGCTCACTGCAACCTCTGCCTCCCGGGTTCAAGCAATTCTCCCTCCTCAGCCTTCTGAGTGGCCGGGATAACAGGCAACCACCACCACGCATGGCTGATTTATTTTTAATTTTATTTTTAGTAGAAATGGGGTTTCACCGTGTTGGCCAGGCTGGTCTCAAACTCCTGGCCTCAAGTGATCCACCCACCTTTGCCTCCTGAAGTGTTGGGATTACAGGTGTGAGCCACTGTGCCCGGCCAGGAATACATTTTGGAATACACTTAGGAAGTGAGCCCTTTGACACTGGGTAAACTCAGTCTACTACTCAATTTTCCAACCATTAGGAAAGAAGCTCTGCCATTAAGAAATACTACTTTCAGCTTTTAATGTCAGTGCCTCAACGGAACCCACGACAGGCATGCGTGTGTTGCTTATTCCACAAATGTCTCTTACTTGTCATCTGTGTGTGCCAACAGGCTTGGCACCTGCCTGGGAAGTGTGTGCGACTACAAGCACAGGTAGCTCTCTAGCACTTCCACTGTGCCTTGTCCTCTCCCTCAGGAGTCCTAAAAGAACTTTCAATTCTTTTTTGTTTACGCAGACAAGTTATGAACTTATGAACCAATTCTCAAAACACAGTTTGCCAGACAGTTGCTTTAGTCAGAGTACGAGCTCTAGGTTACAATGTTCTCAATAAATGTCTGGCTCTAAGATCATTCCACGGGCACCAATTTAACCTCTACAACTGCTTAACAAAGGCCTCAAACCAGCACTTTTAGTTTTTGGAACAAAAATTTGTGCAGAGATAGTTTTGCAAATATAAACAAATCTCTAAAGCTGAAATGTAGGCAGTGTAATATAAGTGCTCCATAAGAGACTCTTACGGCAGGCTAGCTCTGGATAGCGGTATACCACGGCTACAATGATGTGACTGCTAGCAGCTCCTTGCTAACTGTGGGTGGAGTACAGGGACACTGTGGCGTGCTGCTGGAGGAACAGGCCTCTGCAGGCAGAAAGATCTGGGTTTAAGCCCGAGCCTGAGTTTCACCAGCTGTATGATCATGTGAAACACCTTTTTATGAGCTTTAGTTTATTTATTTGTAAACTGATACCACCAACATGTACAATATGCAGCTCCAAGGATGAAAAAAAAACTTATACAAACATACATATCCGAGTACATGGCGTAAGAGCTATTAAATAAATGACAGTCTGCTTCCTCCACGTGCAAGTCTACAGTATCCCAAGTCTCCAAGAGGTTTCGTGGTAATTCCCAAACAAGGTAAAGACAGAGTAACACTGGGAGAAGGGTGAGATGGGCAACAGGAGAGTAGTGTTTGTATCATGTAGTCTTTTATCCCTTCTGAATCACAGAACATCCCTACTTCTTGGTTGTTACCACTATATGACTTGCATATTAATAACTTCCTTCCTTTTCCTTACGTTTTTCTCACTTTTGAAAAAAATTTGAATTCATTGTAGACTTTTATGGGACACTTTCTCTATTTTAAACCAACTGAAACTAAAATTGAGCAAAATGTATTTGCCGCCTGTAATTTGTGAAAATTGAAACAATCTGGTTGAATAGTGTTCAATATGTGGGAACACACAGCAAGAGGGAAGACAATTTATCAAGTTACAGATCTTATTATCTATTTATCAATCTATTTTTTTGAAAATAGACATGCTGCAATTTACATCTATGGCTTTATTTTATTCTTTGATAGACGCTAAGGACAAAACTAAACAAGCAATAAGAAGAAACCAAGGGAATAAGAGAGAAAACAGACAACGCAGTCCATTCTCTATTCCGTTCTAAAAGTTTTACAACATGCAAGTGGACTAAGTCTCCGGAATTTTATCCAGAAAATCTTAGAGGGCTATTCCAGGCCTAACAATCTGACTAAAAGTTATGGTAAAAAGGTTAGAACTTAAATTACAAACAGGCTTCTGAGTCTCAATATTTGATAGGTGCTTCCTACGTATCTAAAGTTAAGAATATGCTAGATCTCTGAATACTACTCATCACTCTAAGGAGATAATCATTGATCAACATATCAGTAAGCTATTATAAAGTAGTTTGACTTAATAAAAAAGTCTGATCTACTCACTTAAAATAGCTCTTGTAAATTATATTGTAAAGAACTACAAAGTATTTTTCCCATTCCATAAATTGATAGAATTCTTTTCTGCCCCATATCATTAAGTTGACGGAGTACTTCTTATTCCTGCTCTTTTTTTTTTTTTAACAAGATGTTAAAAAAGGCTTTGTCTTCCCAAGAAAATTTCCAGAATTAGCATTTAAGTACTAACCTGACTGGAAGCACTGGGATCTTCAGAAACTGAAGAAGGCATTTCGAAGGGAGCAGGCCATGAAGCCCCTTGAGAATCATCTGTCTGATCTGAACTGGATGATTCCTGCTGTTCTGCAGTAGATGGGACAGGCTGAGCAGCTCCATCACCATTGATACTGGCCAAAGCGGAAATAAAAAGAATCAGTTACTAGTTAACTTTATGCAACAGTCTACCAGTTTATAAAAACTACACTCTGTAATTAAGCGTACATCTTACAAAAAAGAAATATGAACAAATCTTAACAATATCATAGGGGCAGAACTTAAATTATTACTTATATAAGCTTCAAACTAAATTTTAGATCAGAATTCCATTTTTTCTCTTTAAAGATAAATAAGTAGCCAAGTACCTGTAATACAAAAACTTGGAAAGAATTGCCTTTTGATACCAGTGTTCTTTGCTCTTTTTCTTCCTCTGCCACTTCTGATCAATCAGTCTTTGATAAAACTCTTTCAACCATGTCCAATCTCCAGTCTGGATAACATGAGATATACATAATTAAGACACACACACAGTCAAAACAATGTTTTGTACTAGTTTACAGAAAAGACTCCTTTTATTTTTTGAATACAGTTTCATAAACACATACTCATTAAAAACTTATCTTTCTGGGTCAATTCATGCCACCTTTCTTTTGTTTTTTCTTTTTGTTTTGTTTTTTAAAGGAAACCCCAGTCTTCCTCTTCTCCTAAGCCAGGGTGGGACAGGTGAGTCTTCTCCATAACATGTTCTTTAGCACCTGGAGTAGGTCCCCCTTTGCACACTATATTAAAATGATCTCTCTAAGTGTTCATAACCCCAAACAATGAACTGGTAAGGAGCAAGGCCTGTGATTTGTTCACTGCCACATCCCAAGAGCTCACCTAGTGCCTAGGCTCATACTCACACAATGAACTAAACTGTGGTCTTTTCAAAGGAAAGAGCCACTTATTTTAAACGTCACTTTAAATCACTATGACTTAATTTTCTTTATCAAAGCACTGTAGGAATATTCTTTAAAGACTGACTATGAACTATTTCTTGCCAGCTGAAGGAAAGTACAGAAATGGAGAGTAATCCTCGAGACACTGCAACAGTGTTACCGTATTTTTTCAAAAGTATCCGTTCTCAACATGTAGGGAAAAACAGTCCTTTACCAACATAGGATTTGAGAATCTAGGCTAAAGATAATCAATTAATTCTAATAACTGTAGCCATGCATCATTTAACAATGGGAATATATTCTGAGAAATGCGTCATTAAGTGATTTTTGTACTGCTGTGAACATCACCGAGTGTTACTTATAGAAACCTGGCTGGTGCAGCCTACTCCATACCTAGGTCATATGGTACAGCCTATTGTTCTTAGGCTACAAATCTGTACATGTGACTGTACTGACTGTCACAGGCAAGTGTACCACCAGGGTATTTGTCTATCTAAACATTGCAAATATGTAAAAATACAGTATATTATAATCCTATGGGACCACTAGCATATGTAGTCCATCACTGATTGAAATGTCTTTATGAGCACATGACTGTATTCATAGGAACAGCTTTTAACATATTTCACAATTTGCAGGAGCCATGTTTCATGAGAATTTGTTAAGGGAGATATCAAAGGATTTTTAAAAAATTTAAACTAATCCCTTAAATTTCAGAGATTTTTCACAACTTTCTTCATTGGCTTCATCTTTTTTTCTTACAAGGAAGAATCTGGCTGTTGGTATCAATAAAGTAACTTTCTTCACCATTCTTACGCTCTTCTTTTTTCTTCATTCAAGCTTTTCTATCTTCAGTGAAACTTTTCATTTCTCGATTGCTGAAATACTCAACTACATTTCAACTTTGGCCATTCTCTGAAACAAAATCCTATTTCTAGTGCTCTTAAGTTGTTAAATAATGTTTTTCTGGATTTTTTCACAAAACCATTACCTGAGATGATCTCATAAAGAGTTCTTGAATATCTAGCTCATCTAGTAGGAGAGTCCTTCCTATGCGGTGAACCGCCATGCTCACGTGGGATTTGCTGTAGGGAATTTTCAGGAGTTTTTTTATGTTCTTAAAAAATTAAGAGAAAAAAATAGTTAAGAAAGACTTGGTGTGATTTGGAATCTTTTAAGTTTTGACTTCATTCATTTAAAAGCACAATAAACCTTATTTCCTTAAGGTTATACAAACAGAACTTTAAATGAAGAGGTACATGCAAACACAGAGGACAGAGCTTTCAAACCATAATCACGTACACTTTGAGTCACCTTATATTAATGACAAACATCTATTTTTACATGATAGAATTTCTTAAAGTTAAGGGTGTATACGTCACACCGTTGTGCTGACCCAGACTTTTGGCATATCAGATAAAAGCCACTAAGGATCAATAGACTTTAGTAGAAATATCATTTGTAACTTTCAATTGGTAACATATACAGAATAATCCCAAACATTATAATCAGTTTCAATTACTATCATTAAAATATAACAATCAGTATTAATATTATTACCAATGCCAGTGTTTGGGGATTGTTTCTTCCTCTTTAAATAAACATGTGGTAAAGAATGATACTTTAATAACAAAAAAAAGATACTCAATAATCAGATAGTTTTATCTTATCTCATCGCTAGTTTCTCAAGACTTGCATGCTTGTATCATGTAAAACACAGCATGATATAAAACACCTGGCACAAAACACCCCCAAAACCCCAGTAAGTGGCAAATAACACTTACTTCAGAGTCAGAGACAACGTCTACATCGTTTCCCACTGAATCAATGAAGCCGTACGCCATGCCAAAGCTACCCAAGAGAAAAAAGGCCACGTGTTACAACGTCATGCTCATAATCATGCAAGTTGACTTTAGTAACAATGCTGTAGTTCACTGCTTCTAGGATACCCATTTTCACAACTCTGAAATCAGGATACGTATCACCACTACAATTGACAAATTTTTTCTTCTTAGTGGTACATAAAATAATGGTGTGTCTTAAAGTCAGTGGCATCTTATACTTGGTAAAACGTGTAATCATCATTAGAAGCATCCAGTAGGAAACATTTAAAATAAAAACAATTATTTTGAATTTTGTACTCAGAAAACCCAAAAAGTCTCCAAGGGAAAACAGTGAGTTCAAGACTTTATTCTTTTTAGATAGAGAAGAAAAACAGAAACAGAAACATTTATCAGGATTTTACTTTCTGAGATTGTGCTTCCAGTGATATACCTCTTTTAAAAAACAGACATCAAAAAATACACCTGACACCCCCACAAAAGGAAATGAAAAAAAAAAAAAAAAGTTAAGCAGCCAACTGATGCCACGCACCACCTGAGGCACAGCTATAGTCTACAACCCTGAAGGGACCTGACATCACCATTTTCCAGTTACTAACTGGCAGAGTCAAAACACTTAAAGGATAGCCTAACTGCAAAGCGTGCTTTGTGATTTACCGTAGGCCTCAGCCAAATTATTTAGCTTCCATTTTTTCAGGTGCAAAATAATTAACAGTGCCTCTCTCAAAGAGTGGTGAGAATTAAATGAGATAAGCATATAAACTTTGCACAGCATTTGTATAGAGTCAATATAATTATTCAAATTTTCTCACACATTAAAGTATGTTAACAAAACATGACTGATTAAGCCATTCTTTTAAAAAATGATATTTATTTCCAGCTTTTTGCTCTTATAAACGATGCTACAAACAAACAGCATTTTGCAAATGTAACTTTTATCTTCTGAGGCATTAGGATAACTTCCAAACTACCAGCTTGTAAAGTAGTAGTGTGTTTGTGCCTCTTGCTACAAGTTACATGGAAATATTTTAGATTGAGTAGCTGAGAAGGGGGGGTGGAAAGAGAACCCCACACACTAGATAGCCTACAACAATATGGATAATAGTACATTTTTCTCTATAGGACCTCAGGCTACTCTCTCAACTTTAAATACCATCAGCAGAATTTCCAGTGTCAAAGTCAAGGTGTAGGTCACTCAACATGCTGGGTTTTTTTTTTTTTTTTTTTTAAGATGGAATCTTGCTCTGTCACCAGGCTGGAATGCAGTGGTGCAATGTCGGCTCACTGCAACCTCTGCCTCCCAGGTTCAAGTGATTCCCCTGCCTCAGCCTCCCCAGTAGCTGGGACTACAGGCGTGTGCCACCACACCCAGCTAATATTTTGTATTTTAGTAGAGATGGAGTTTCACCATGTTGGCCAGGATGGTCTCAATCTCCTGACCTTGTGATCCACCTGCCTCGGCCTCCTAAAGTGGTTATAGGCATGGACCACTGGGCCCGGCCAATGCTGAGTTTTTAAATCTGGCCTTTCCAGATCAGACAACCCCCCACCCTTTAATGAAAAACTCCACAGGAAAGATGAAGCAATGTTCAGGGTTTTCCTTTTCATGCACTAAGTGGATCCTTTGTATTCACATATTCAAAAGGCATCCAAATTGGCTAAAATCAAAGGGCTGATGGAACTTTCACGGTCAAAACTCATCTTTGCTAATAACATGATGTAGACTTGAAAGCAGCCTATGCAACTGATATTGTATGTACATCTTCATACTGTAACATCATCTATTATCAGAATAAAAAGCCTTTGAAAATCAAATATGATCTCTCTAAAGAAAAATCTCGGCAAGTTAATGAGCATTACAAACTGAATTTAAAAGCATCTAAGAGTTTAAAGTGAGGGTGGAGGGCAGGCAAAATTGCCACGGATTAATATTTACCTTGAAAATGGCTTGCTTTTCTTGCTGTTACCAAGAATTGTAGTTCCTGCTGGCCCTAGTTTGGCACTCTCTCGTAACCAGTTGGCAGGTGGGAGTTTCAAGTCTGTTTTCTCTTCAAGGCGTGCAAATGCTGTTCGAGGAGGGGCAGAAGAGTATTTCACCACAGCTCGGCTCTTCACTTCATTGCCTCCAAGAAATAAAGCTGATCCCTAATGAACATATTGGATGAAACTTTAATGAGCATTACTAGGAAAGAAAAATCTCACCTTCATAAAAAGAAAACAAGAACCTGTCACACCAGGCTTCACAAGGAACATATGCCACATGTTACTAATAGCACTTCATAATTAATTCCAGCACAAATGGTAACACTTACTTAGGTCTTTTACACCAACTTCAAAGAAAAAGATGAGTGAAGGACTATGATGGTGATGGTTATCAGCTAGAAAATGGACCACCCACTCTATCTTTCAAAATTTATTCATATAAAGTGGAGAGGGAGAAACCCCGAAGACTCAATGATGTCCTGTTAATTAAGTGCAAACTTTAATAAAGCCTATTTTCAGTATTAAAGATGTAATTTGATTTTTTTTTTTTTTTTTTGAGACACTGTCTCACTTGCTGCCCAGGCTGTAGTGCAGTAGAGCAATTACGGCTCACTGCAACCTCCGTTTCCAGGGTTCAAGCAATTCTCTTGTCTTAGCCTCTCTAGTAGCTGGGATTACAGGAGTGCACTGCCACGCCCAGCTAATTTTTGTATTTTTAGTAGGGACGGGGTTGCACCATGTTGGCCAGGCTGGTTTCAAACTCCCCGACTTCAGGTGATCCACCCACCTCAGCCTCCCAAAGTGTTGGGATTACAGGCGTGAGCCACCGTGCCTGACCAGAGATGTATTTTAATGTTAACAACACATCATTCATAAAGTAGTCGGGTAAAATATTTGGCCCTTTTTTGTTTTAACGTATTTAGTAATTGACGCATCAGTTCATTTCGCAAACACTCTTGAGTCTCTAACTTCATGGCAAGGCACTGGGGGTTCGTTCCTCACAGCCTGCACTTGCACACTCCCAAGGCAAGTTCAGTGTCTGGGTTCAATATTCTAATCTTTCACGCAGTCCCTTTTCTGCCTGGCAAACATTTTGCACCTTCTGTGAATTAGTTCGGTCTCATTCTCGGAGAGTCACTTCCTGGCACCTTTTCTTCCCACCAGCTTTGCAGGACTGTGCCACATTTTGGAACGACATATTTACATGTACCTTCCTTGAGAGCAGAGATCGTGTCTAACTCACCTGTCGGCTACCAGGACTGCTTTTAATACGAATACCTGGCGAAAGGAACACGGACTTCCACTCGCTATTGCGGGGATGTCAGGGAAGCATAGAGAAGGCTCCAGAATCTGCCGGGAACCGAGGCATCCCTCCAGGTGGAGCCGGTCCTCGGCTCCCGGACCTGGCAGGCTCCCCTCCGCGGAGGACTCACCTGTGCAGAAGGTTCCTCGGATTCTCCCTGTGACAGGAGGCTGAGCCCTCCTCGAACAGCAGCCCCGGCCGGCGGCCCCTCAGCTTCGGCTTCCTTGGGATCCCCCATCACTTCGATCCAGGGCAGGCGAGACGACGGGGGAGCGGAGGAGCAGCGACAGTAACTTGGGCCCAAAGCAGGGTAAGCGCCCCAGACGCTCGGTGGACCGCACTTCCGGTCTCTGCCAGGAAGAAGTAGCGGTGACGCTCCATTAAATCTCGCGAGCTTCGTACATAGGCCCGGCCCCGCCTCCCGCTGCAGGTGCCGCCTTCTCGACCGGGGCGAGAATTGTAGTGCGCCTGCGCTTGTTAAAACGTCTACGGGACATCACTTCTCGCGGTATCTGACTCCTAGGCTCCGCCCTCTGCACGCCGCTCGCGAAATCTGACGCTCGGCCCCGCCCCCCGCACGTCTTTGTTGGCAAACAGTTCTGGGGGTTGCCGTAGGTCGCAGGTCGTCACCGCGTGGGAAGGGCGGTGCGGAACTCGGCGCCCTTGGTGACTCCCGTTGCGAGAATTAGCGAGAGGTTCCCGCTCTTCCCTCCCTAGGCTTCAGTGCACCCTCGTTTCACAGGTGCATCCCGAAGGCCCAGACTGGAAAGGGAGCCAGCCATTTCAGACTGGGCGCCCTGTTCGCCTTTTAGTGCCCCTGTGGCCCCATCCTGCGTGTGTGAGCGGCGGGGCTTCCGGGAAGGGCGCTGGGACGCGCGGACGAGGCCCTTCGCGTTTAGGGAACGGGTGGCTTTCGGAGGCTCCTGGGGGCCCGTCATGCCCGCTGCTTGCGGGGCGTCCCAGGTGGTGCAGGGCCCCTGAGACGCTGCACCTGGGGCCTCGTAACGCGTCGGTTTCCATTCGGGCGCTCCGGATGGTCCTGAGACTGCATTTCTGCCAGGTTGCCAGGAAACTATGCCAGCGCTTTGAGTAGCGAGGAGGTGGGGAAATAGCCCGGGCCGTTTGCAGGCTTTGAAGGTCCAGGCTCTCTTACTTTCCCACTTCTCAGTGTCATCTCACAGTCCACGCAGCCACATCCGTCATACAGTGCATGTTTTGGAGTGAAAGTGTTTTGTTGTGCCGTGAGATGCGGAAAGTGTTTTTAAAAGTTGGCTCTTGCAGTTTGGCTATGTCAGTTTGGAATTCACATTTGGCTCTGATAACTCACTATCCTGTCCGTTTTCAGGAATGCTCCTGATGAGCAAGCGTTCAACTTACAAGTTGCTTTCAAATATAACAAAACAATGTTATGAATTAAACAGTCAATTTGATATGTGTATTTTGTAGACATTTACTTCAGCATGTATTAATTTTGATTTTTATCATTTTGTTTGAGGGTTGCAGCCAATAATTCATTTTTTGGGTTTTGCAAGTAATGCATTGTTTGTTATGGTGAAAAGTTGAGCACAGTATCTTGACACTGGGAGGAGGATGATCAAATCTGGTTTTGATACATAATAAACCCTGTGCAACCATAAACTTGTTTTTCAGGAATATTTAAGAACATTTAAATTGGATATCATATAATGTTAAAAGATAAGTTTTTAAAAGCCAATGGGCACTATGATCTCAATTTTAAAAAGTCTCTATTTCTGTGTCTGTGTCCACAAAAACAGATCTCTGAGTAGTAAAATGAAGTGATTTAAAATTTATTCTTTAACATTTTCTTTTCCTAGTTTTCTTTTTGATTATTATATGTAATTTTATTAAGCTGTTACATACATAATTCAGCTTGTGATAATCTTTAAATTCTGTTGTTTTATTGTATAATTTTATCTTTGTAAGAAAGAAGGCCGGGCGCGGTGGCTCAAGCCTGTAATCCCAGCACTTTGGGAGGCCAAGGTGGGTGGATCACGAGGTCAAGAGATCGAGACCATCCTGGTCAACATGGTGAAACCCCATCTCTACTAAAAATACAAAAAATTAGCTGGGCATGGTGGCGCGTGCCTGTAATCCCAGCTACTCAGGAGGCTCAGGCAGGAGAATTGCCTGAACCCAGGAGGCAGAGGTTGCCGTGAGCCAAGATTGCGCCATTGCACTCCAGTCTGGGTAACAAGAGTGGAACTCCGTCTCAAAAAAAAAAAAAGAAAGAAAGAAATAGGAGTGGTTCTTTTCTCAGGACTCAAATATTTTGCATGCTTCTTGAGAAGTGAGTGCCTAGACATGTGTCAATGATGCCTAGTGGGAAAATGTGCTGGAAATAGGCTTTGAAAAGACAAACAATCAAACAACCGGAAACTCAGTATAGAAACAGAGGTTGGCAGCACACAGAGAATAATGGTTGCTGAGAGTGTCAGGCTGAGGGGACCAGGGACCCTCGGGCCTGATTGTGGAGGAAAGCCGGAGTCGAGGCTGGGTCTCCAGCAGCCACAGACAGGACCAGGGTTATTGTACTGTAATTTAGTTCTTAAGGGAGCATGATCCCTGAGGGCTGGAGCAATTGGGCACATCTGGGTTACATGAAATTTACATATGCCTCTTGCTCTAAGGGCTTATTATTTTTTTTCTTTTTCCCTAGTCAAACACTTTAAAATGCTGCTGGAGCTCATAGTGGTCAGGGAAATTTTTTAAAATAAGTGGGGGGAAAATCCACTTTTACATGGCGTAGCATTTTTTAAAAAGTTATTGTCACTTTTTAATATAGGAGATTGAAATATTTATTGGGAAAACATGGAGGGTAAGTCATGACTTTTAGAATTTCAAGTTTTCAGACACTAGTTGATTTTCATTTTTATGTTGTACCAGTGCCTGCCTGTTTCCTCCATCTCTGTCCTCCCGCCCCAGGCCCCCATTTGGGATGCACTCCATCATCCATGGCCTGCTCTGCCTTGTCTGTGTAGTTATCCTGGCTCTTGTAACTACCCATGGCTCTCAAGTGTTTATCTGCCTCTTAAGTGCCTGAAGCTCTAGCTAGCAGCATGCTTGTTGTTTGCTGCTCCAGCTACTTGTTCCATAGCTCCACGTTTGCTGGTGCTTTCCTCTGCCTAAAATACCTTTTCCTTCCTCACCTGACTTCTCTCCTGGCACCTCCACCTCTCTTCAGGGTCCCTTCCTTTGTTCCAATCGCTTGTATTGCTTTATCCTGCACTTGCCACATTATAGAAGAGTTACCCATTTGTATCTTCCTGCCTCTCTGACTGTGAGCTCCTCAAAGGTTGGTGTCTGATCACAGACGGCAGGTACAGCACCAGCAGACAGAACTGTTTCAGCCCTTAGGCAATGGAGGGAAAATGACTGGGGCTGACAGGCTTTTAAAATGCTCATCAAAATGTTTGAGACATAAAACCAATGTTGTTGGCTCCAGAATATTTTTTTAGTCTGCAAAATCAAAGCTAAAAATGTTTGAATGAAGTAGCTCCAAAATACTGCAATGTCAATGTTATTAATTATTAGTGTTAACATACACTTTGTTCCATTCTAAAATGATTTGTAGATTAGACTCTCTTAGCAAAAATTCTCCCAGCATGCACTGGTTTCTGAGAAATCCCAGCCATTTGTAAATTCATGCAGGTATTTGTGGCATTCCGCAAAATTAGAACTCCTTTCCAAACCTCTACAGCAAGACAGTTATAAGGAAGGCAGATGTGGTTGACGCTGCTGCTAAAAGTACAAGTGTCCAGGGTACCCTCGGTTCCTGTCTAGCCCCACTGGAAGAGCGTGCCAAACTGGAGAACCTTCTAAACTCAGGGACCATTTGGGGAATATGCTTTTCAGTTTGCCATGGGCCCTTCCACAGTCTGACGTCTTATTCCTAACCAGCCTCATTTGTGTACTTTCTGGACCTTAGAAGGTTCTGAATTTCTGACTCCTGATTCTGGACTCTTAGAGCTGAAAAAAAGATTTGTGGTTGTCTGAGCCAATCTCTTGCCTCTTTAACTGGGAGCAGTGCCATCCAGAAAGGAGAAGAGGATTGACTTGTTGGCCATCATACAAAAGTAGTTACAAAGTCAGGACTAGTACCCAGGTCTCCGACTTACTTAGCCTTCTAAAAAGTCAAATAGTAGACATAGGCCAGTGGAATTTGAAGTTGTCTCATCATTACTGGAGGAACTTGTTAAACAAACAGATCCTCCAGCCACCTCCAGAATCTAGTATCTCTGAGGTAGTGCTGATGAGTCTACATTTTTAGTGCAATTGTTAGTTTCTGACAACCTTGTCCTATAGACTACACCTTAGGACAGTGGTCTCCAAAGGCAATCCCCTGGAGCGCAGGAAGACTAACTTTATTTTATTTATTTATTTTTTTATTTTTTGAGACAGAGTTTCGCTCTTGTTACTCAGGCTGGAGTGCAATGGCGCAATCTCGGCTCACGGCAACCTCCGCCTCCTGGGTTCAGGCAATTCTCCTGCCTCAGCCTCCTGAGTAGCTGGGATTACAGGCACGCACCACCATGCCCAGCTAATTTTTTGTATTTTTAGTAGAGATGGGGTTTCACCATGTTGACCAGGATGGTCTCGATCTCTTGACCTTGTGAACCACCAACCTCAGCCTCCCAAAGTGCCGGGATTACAAGCTTGAGCCACCGCGCCCGGCCCCCTGAAAAGTAAGGGCACAATTAAGCTTTACTGATATGTAATATACAGATTGACACCGGTGCCCTTCCTTGGCCTTGGTGAGCTAGTCCAAGTAAGATTGGGTTATGCTGACAAAACAAATGGTCCCCAAGTGTCAGTGGATTCCAGCTACGGCAGCCAGAAAATGAACAGGATGCCAAGTTAAATCGGAATTTCAGATAAGCAGTGAACAAGGTTTTAGGATGAGAATGCCCCAAATATTTAGCATAAGTCATAAGTATGTCCCATCTGATGAAGCAGCACCACCAGTTATAGCAGCAGAGAGACAAAAAGATTGGTGCCTTGCGGACTAGCTCCGAAAGCTTTTGGTCAAAAGTGGCAGACATCATGCCTTTCACCTTTTTTTGGCCAAGTAAATCACATGGTCAAGCTAAGCATCCATGTGGCAGGGGAGACTGTGAACCCCAAGGAGGGAGCTTGGTTATCTGTGACCATTATGCAGTCTACCACAGGCATATATGGTGGCTTGGATGGGCGATTCGATGCCATTCACAAGGCTAAATTTGGTGAAAAACAGGGTAGCAGAATCCTTTCAGAGTTTTGTGATGAGGAATATCTTAGTCTGTTTTGTGTCGCTACAGCAGAATACCAGAGATTGGGTAATTTATTTTAAAAAAAAAGGTTGATTTAGCCTACGGTTCTGCAGGCTGGGGGGTTCAAGCATATGGCTGTAGCTTCTGGTGAGAGGTTTCATGCTGCATCATAATGTGGCAGAGAAGATCAATGGGTAAATGGACATGTATGAGAGAGGCAAAACTAGAGGGGTTTTCTGACTTACAATAACCCACTCTTGCAGGAACTAACCAATTCCTGAAAGAACGAATTCAGTCTTGCCAGAGCAAGAACTCACTGCCATGAGAGCAGCACCAGGCCACCCAAGAGGACAGTGCCCTCATGACCTGAACTCCTCCCATTAGGCCCCAAACCCCAACACTACCACATTGGGATGAAATTTCAAAATTAGTTTTGGTGGGAACATACGCATATCCAGACCACAGCAAGGAGTGACCTCAAAAATCTACCACAGCAAGATCACAGATCGTCAGTGGCAAAGCACTCAGAAGAATTGTCAAGCTTGAAAATGAGTTACCATATTTTCTTTTACAAAGAGTGTTCTACGTTTTCTCATCTGTGATGACATGTAGCTGTCATTAGGATGATACCCAGGAGAAAGTTTCACAAAAACAAACAGATGTAATTTGCTTCTTCAAAACAAAGGTGATGTTTTAACAATGAGTGGGAAAGAATTTCCTTTTCTTTTTTGAGACAGTGTTTAGCTCTTACTGCCCAGGCTGGAGTGCAATGGTATGATCTCGGCTCACTGCAATCTCCACTTCCCAGGTTCAAGTGATTCTCCTATGTGAGCCTCCTGAGTAGCTGGGACTACAGGCGCCCGCCACCAAGCCTGGCTAATTTTTTGTATTGTTAGTAGAGATAGGGTTTTACCATGTTGGCCAGGTTGGTCTGGAACTCCTGACCTCAGGTGATCCACCCGCCTTGGCAATCCAAAAGGTTGGGATTATAGGCATGAGCCACCCGTGCCTGGCCAGTATTTGGTTTTCAAAAGAGTCTTATGGAGAGCATTTTTGAAATAGCTGTTTGGAAATCTTCCCAACATTATGTGATTTTTGTCTCTAAATGATGTATATTGCTTATAAAAACTCATCTGCACACTTAACTTAGAAACTGAAATTCCTAACCTCTTTTAGAAATCTTCCAAATGGAGAGGTTGAGTTTTAAATATATTGAGGAATTCTAAGGAGGACAGTGGCGCAGTTCTGGCTTACTTAAGGCGTGTGAAGGGAAGAGGGCCAGCAGAGCTCCGCCAGAGGCAGCAAGCCTCATGTGTTCCTCAGCCACGCCAGCAGGGGGTTCAAAAAATCTGTCGGCACTTAATTGTTTTCTTTGATCCTGGTTGTCCTTCCCAGAACGCCCGGACTCTATCAGCAGCCAGCTGATTACCCCAAAAATATGGCTGCAAGATTCACAATTCCCAGGCTGCCAGCAGGTTTTTCTCTCTCCTATCTGGTAAACATCCTGTTTTTAATTTCGTTCCATGACAACAGTCTACTGACCTTTCTTCCTCTTGTACGAGCAAACAAATTGCATATGAAACAACCGACTAAAAATCTCCGAGTTATTCCATGATACTGTTTGATTGCTTAGTTAGAAAAAAAAGGCTGATGGACTTCAAAGAAGATGGAAATGTAACTAATTACATTTCAGTTAAAGCCTGTGCATGATTTGTGCATACAACTGAAATGAGCAGTTTGATTTAGTAAACCCTGAGACCATGTAATTTTTTCAAGTAGGCTTGCTTATCTTTTGAGAGATTTTAAGAGATGACAGCCATTAAAACCACATTTTAAAATAAATCTAACTTGGAAAGAGACCTCAAACTGTTATACCACCAAGTTTTCAAACAAAGATTCTCAAAAATAAAAGAAGCCTATTCAGCAATTTTGCTCTCTTTTAAAAAATATTAATGAAAATGGAACTAATTTTCAGTCAATAAATTAAAATGTTACGTTGTTTTCTATTTGTGGTATTTTTTTATGTCGCTGTATTAGTGCCAGTGTATCATTTACAAATAAATAAATACGCATTATATTGGGGTTGCATGTTCAGAATGTTTTTTTTTTTTAATTTTTAAAGAGATCCCAGGCTGTACTTGAACTCCTTCCTGGGCCTAAGTGATCCTCCTGCCTCAGCCTCCTCAAAAGGTAGCACGACAAGTGTGAGTCACTTAACCGGAAATGTTTTTAATGATGGTGGATGATAAAAAGTTTATGGATTGTTGCTGCTAAAAAGACTGTATTAGACACACTGCGATACCCAAAACCAAATGCTAGCTGCTTTTTAAGTCAAAAACAGCCAGCTAATGATCTATATTTTGCTTTACAGTGTAACTTGACAAGAGTAGAAAAATGTAGGGGCCAAGAAGAAAAGCTTCCCCTTTCAGCCTCTGAAGGTTTGCTGAAAATGAGCGGAAAAATGCAGATCAACAGGAGAAAAGGCATGTGTTTATTTTAACACGCATACCGTGGGGAATTGTAGAAGAGTGATGACCTCATCACCCAACAAGGTCCAGATGCCTCTATATCCTCTCTTCATAGCGAAGGGGGAGGGGGTGTGTGGGAGTAAATGGCAAAAGTTCCTCTGAGCTCTGGGGGAGGTGCTGGGAAGGTGAGGGATGGAACCTCACCTTCCACAAAGATTGTCAGACCTGTCCTCAAGAGAATAGATGAAAAGTCGGTGTAGTGACAACTCTGTCTCTTCTCTTCTTTCCTGGTCATTTGATGAGATTCCTAAAATTGGGGGTCTTATGACAATTGCCTGTTTTTCCTTTTTTTTTTTTTGGAAAGAAGCTTTGTTAGACAAGAAAATTCCAGAGAGTCCCTCCAGGTGCTTCTAGAAAGAGGATCAGAGAAACAAAGGGTGGGGAAGGTCAGAAAGAGAACTTGGGTCTAAGGTTTATTTCTAAGGCCTTTTGATTTGCAAAGTACTCAGCATGCCAAAGCACTATATTTTGGGGAATCATTTTCTGCACCCCAACAAAACCTTGATATGCAATTTTTCAGTGTAATCGCAAGATACCCTTGGTTATAGCTATCTGATATTTAATCATTAACTGATAATGATTTAATTGCTGCTCTGTAGATTCATAACAAGCAGAGTATTTGAAGCTATTTGAAACTATTTCGACTGCATTTGAAGGAGTTTATTTTCTGGACACCTGATGAACTCAAATTTTTTTGCAAATTCTTAGCATTAACTTTCTGGATACAATGCAGGGGGCTGCGAGGGCAGATTGTCTGCTAGATGTTTTGCAACAGAAGTTTTCTTAGAGTTTTTGTGAGTTTTCCTCTGAAGCTGATAAATGCCCTAAATGAGTTGTAGGAACAGTTTCAAAGTCACTAACGTCTGCTCTTCAGGCATGTCGTGGCTGGAGCCCAGGCAGTTATTCATGTTGCATGTGCATCTTAAACTAAGGGTGAGAAGGAAGGAAATTTCAAATGAACCTTCCAATTAATCTGATAGGGACTGCTTGTGAGTTCCCCTCCACCTTTCCAGTTAAGGGCCTGACCTATGCAGACCCTAATGAGTCATTTAGCTATTAAATATTTAGAAGGAGGCTTCCAATGGAGAGAACAAAAGGACAGCATTGCTTAGTGCAAAAGCATCAAGTGTCAAAGCCACTGACTGGACATTTCTCTAACATTTGTCTTCCCCCGGGCGCTGAAGAGAGAGATGTTTTACTTTCTCAGTGGAATGCAGTCACAAGGCACCCAGTAATAGAATCCATTGCTTGTGAACATTGGGCAGGTTGGTAACTACTGGATGAACCATGGGTGTCATCCACATAAGGCATTTTTTTACATATTTATTTACATGTTTTTTTCTCTATAAGAAGTGGAGCCAGAATCCACAGATGCCATTATCCATCTGCAGCCTTCATTTACTACCCAGAAGGCAAGAATATTGCATTTTAGAAGTGTCCAGACTTTTGTTCTTTCTTATCACAAGACTTGGGAAGCTCCGACCGTTCATGTTTACCCTGAGTGAAAGTCCCAGTCAGAGCCTTGCTTCCTGGAGGGCTTTGAGATTCTGGTACAAAAGGCATTTTATAAGCACAAAGTGGAAAAGCATCATTCATATTCATTTGCTGCTGTGGCATTTCTCCCTGGAATCTTCCTCTTGTCTGTCAATGTTGGACCAAAGGACTGGCCTCATCTACATTACAAATATTCTTTTAATGGTCTGGAGGTAGGAAAGGGACACGCAGCAGAAGAGTGAGAAGGGAAACTCAAGCTCTCTTGTTGGAGAGTCTCAGGCTTCTTTATCCATAAAACTGGTTGGACATAATTGGTGTGGGTTTATGATTTGTTCTGGAAAAACCTGAGTATGAAATCAATACAGTGTTTTGTGCATCTTGGCTGCAATGAGTGTTTTTAATGTGATTGCAGGGAACCGACGGAGAGGCAGCCATCCGGAGGGCTCTCTGGGGGGTCATTTAGAAAGCAACAGTCCTGGGCAGAGGATGGTCTGCACTGACCTCCACTGCGCAGGAAGGCTTGCCGAGTGGAGAAAGGTCCACTAACATGGCTTCTGTGAGGTGTGGGCAGTTCCTTTCTTGGTGTGGAGCTCTGTTTGGTGTGATGTAAGAGGTGTCAAGGGGCCTTTCTGTCCCTGAAGATCTTGGCAGATGACACCTGTGGAGATTGCCAGCTGGATTAGGTGAGGCAGAGCACATGGCTCTACCTGAGGGGCTCCCATTCTCATTTGGGAATATTCTAGGACATAGGGCACTACCTAAGAGGCAGAGCCTGGATGGCATTACATGGGTGAAAGATCTGAGTGCCAGGTCCATATAAGTGAGCAGGGGCTGCGGGGAGTCGAGGTGCTTAGAGAACAGGAGAGCTGCCACAGGAAGGGGTGATACCCGCAGGAAGGAAGACCCATATTTCAGACCCCTTCCCTTATACCGCTTCCTGGGATCTCCTTGGAGTCTGCAGATCAGCTGCTGCTTCTCCATCTCCTATCATCTTCTTCAAATCTTTTCATCACGAAAAATTTTCAGTGCAGAGCTAAGTAGAGAGAACAGTAAAGGAACCCCCATGACCCATCCCCATCACCCACCATCAACAGTCATCAATACATGGTTCCGTCTTCCCTACTTTCGTCCTTGCTCCATATTATTATCAAAAGTAGTTCATCCCTAGTTATATTTCATTTAATCCTCTCTGTTGCATTTTTTCTGGCCACATTCTTCTGTCTGTCAATCATTGTCTTAAGTCAGACAGTCTGCTGGGTTGGCTAGGAAAAGACTCAAGAAAGAGAAATTTTGAGAGAAATGTTCAGATTGACCAAATAAGGTATGCTTAATTTAGTTCAATTCAACAGTTGCTTGCTGAGTCCTAGGATCAGTGGTGGATTCAACATATCAGTAAAACATGATTTCTGGCCCACAGGGTTCAGTGCTTTAGTTCTGGGTGTTGGACGAGGGCCTGTAGTAAGCATTCACTCAGGAAAGACAGAATGTGGTCACCGAGAAAGGAAAGGCACAAGGTGAGGTGGAGGTTATAGGGCATGACAAACACACTGGGCTGGGAATGGTGACAAGGGAAGAGGATCAGGAGGCATCCTGAAGCCTGAGGCATTGGAGAGGGATGTGGAAACCTGGGCAGAGAGTGGGACACACTTCGGTGTGCAGGTGGGCATGGCAGTGGGGACAGGAGAGTCTGGCAGCTGGAACACATGGTGTGAGGGGCCCGCAGGGGACCGGGGGTGCGGGAGGCAGGCATGTGGGCTCTCAAAGAAACCCTTGGGCTTTTTCTAGGGTAATAGCAATTATTATTTCTAAGGAAAAAAAAAAAAAAAACAACTGGCTTTCTAGAAGCATGGCTATTAAAAAAAACACAACTCCAGACCGCAATTAGGAAACTGAAAGGAAATCAAAGTGAGCTTAATGGAAATTAGATAGTAGGGGTAATAAAAGAAAATGCAAGTAGCTGCCTTGAATCCGGTGCACTCCAGCTCCACCAGCCAGGCAACATTTTGTTTTTACCTATAAATGAAGTATGTCCGTGACTCTCCCTACTTAAAATGTAAGTTAAGCTATTGTCCTTCTCCACTGTGCTCTGAGAATATACTGATTTTGCCTCTGCCAGCAAAACAAATCTATAGACAGAAAATTCCTAGCACCGCTTTCATGCAAGGGATAACAAAGGTGACAGACGCTGGCAAAATGTTCACATTTATAAATGAAATGGAATGGTAACTGGATTTTTTAAAAGGACAAGGTTTTCATTACAAATGCAAGCATATTTATGAAAGAAAACGCAAACTGTAGTCAACTGTGAAAAGGCAAGGAAATTCATTGTCCCACTACCCAAATGACTTTTTTTTAGAATTTTGGTGTTATATAATGATTTGGGGACATGCTTTTCACACTGAATGGCTTCAATATTTTTTCCCTGCTCTCTTCCACTCCCTGCACCCCTTCATTATGTTTATCAACAAGTTTGGGCAATCGTGTTGACTTTTTTAAGAGTCCGTTCTCTTTTGAACTCAGATTTCGGAAGGGGTGCAGGGAACCCTCCCGATATAAGTAATGATATAAAGCTTATTCTCAGATACGTGTGAAACCGAAAACTGCTAACATTTGCAGAGCTTTGGGAAAACTACACATGGAGGTCTAAATAGCATATGTCTAAATAGTTAAGGTTTTTATAGATTAAGCTAACTCATTATTAAAGAAAATCTGTTCTAGCCTCCTTCCTTGGTAAATATGCCTTCATACCAGCTGCCCCTTGGAAGCTATTAAATATGTTATGTCCTCTTGCCTCATTACAGCTGCCCCTTGGCCACCCCTCTGGGCTGGGGTGTCTACACCAAGTCCTCTTGGGACAGGCCCTAAAAGCAGGCTTGGAGCCTGCTTAGGGCCAGTTTCCTGGAGCTTCAGGTGCACCTCTCTCCTCACCCTACCTGGGGATGGTGGTCAGAGGAGGGCTAGCGTGTAGCCTCAGCCTCATGGGCCCAGAGCAGGTACCTCTCTGGCTCTGATCTGAGTGAATCATTCCATATTTCCATGTGCAGGTCATGTGCTGGGTGTTGGGAACTCAAAGGTGAGTAAGAACAGTCTAGTGGGAGCACACAGACTTCCACATAAGTGCCTCCTAAACTGTAAATTTGCAACTCTGAGTTGACCCAGTCAGGAAAGTCAGGAGGAGGTAACTTTGCAAAGAAGGAAAGAGAATTTCAGGCAGAGAGAAGTATGGGCAAAGTCTCAGTGGCGGTGGAGAGCACAGCCAGAATGAGGTACAGAAGGCTAAGAGGACGTGGGGCTGAGGCCGCCAGGAGCTCAGGTGTCAGTTGGGCTGGACAGGCAGTGGGCGCCAGATCAGGAAGGGCCTTGCTAAGAAACTAGATCCATCTGCAGTAAAGGCTTTTAGCCGGGGTCAGGAAAGGTATAAGGTGTGGTGGAGGTTACAAGGCGTGTTACAAGGAGTCACATGGTCAGGAACAATAAGGCTAAACCAGACTAAATCAGTCCAGGATGCACCATTTTTTTCCTTTCTTTTCTTTTCTTTCTTGTGTGTGTGTGTGTGTGTGTGTGTGTGTGTGTGTTTAAGAAAAGCGAAATCTTAGACACTCAAAAAAGTGTGAAATATGTAAATACCAAATAGACATTTGATAATATTAAAGAATTAATGTTTTCTGATAACAGCATTGTGTGATTTTTTTAGACTTTTATTCTAGGTTTGGGGGTACATGTAAAGATTTGTTACACAGGTAAATGCATGTCACTGGGGTGTGTTGTGCAGATTATTTCATCACCCAGGTGTTAAGCCCAGTACCCTTACATTTTCTTCTCTTCTCCCTCCTACCCTCCCCATCAAGTAGACCCCTGTGTCTGTTGTTTCCTTCTTTGTGTTCATAAGTTCTTATCATTTAGCTTCCACTTATAAGTGAGAACACGTGATACTTGGTTTTGTGTTCCTGCATTAATTTGCTGAGAATAATAATTTGCCTCCAGTACCATCTATGTTCCTGCAAAAGCCATGAGCTCATTCTTTTTTATGGCTGTATAGTATCCCATGGTGGATATGTACCAGATTTAAAAATCCAATCTGCCATTGGTGGGCATTTAGGTTGATTCCATTAGACCTGATAATTCTTTGGAATAGTGGAGGAGAGGAGGAGATGGAGTGGGGCAGACAGGCTTCAGGGGGATGTAGAAAGTCAGACGGCCAGGGCTTTGGGGGTGGATTGGGTTAAGAATGAGGGTGAAAGTAGGTACCAGGCATATATGGTTGGATGAACATGTATTAGTCTGTTTTCACACTGCTATAAAGAACTGAGACTGGGTCATTTATAAAGAAAAGAATTTTAATTGACTCACAGTTCTGCATGGTGAGGGAGGCCTCAGGAAACTTACAGTCATGGCAGAAGGCAAAGGGGAAGCAAGGCATGTCTTACATGGCAGCAGGAGAGTGGGGCAGGGGGGGTGCCACACTTTAAAAACCATCAGATCTCATGAGAACTCACTATCACAAGAACAGTATGAGAGAAATTGCCCCTTTGATCCAGTCACCTTCTGCCAGGTCCTGCCCTTGATCGGTGGGAATTACAATTCTAGATGAGATTTGGGTGGGGACACAGAGCCAAATTGTGTCAAATGGAATGGATGAGCTGGGGACACTGAGAGAGGTTGAGAGTTGAAGGCTGGGGAAGAACATGAGCTCGCTTTAGGACATGTGCATTTTGAGATGCCTTTGGGACATCTGAGAGGGCAGCAAGTAGACATAAGCATGTACTGCCAAGCTATGAAAAGAGGCTGGGGCCAGGTGTGGTGGCTCACGCCTGTAATCCCAGCACTTTGGGAGGCTGAGAGGGTGGATCACTAGAGCTTAGGAGTTCAAGACCAGCCTGGCCAACATGGTGAAACCCCATCTCTACTAAAACACAAAAATTAGCATGGTGTGGTGGCATGTGCCTGTAATCCCGGCTATTTGAGAGGCTGAGGCAAGAGAATTCCTTGAACCCGAGAGGTGGAGGTTGCAGTGAGCAGAGACCATGCCACTGCACTCCAGCCTGGTGACAGAGCGAGACACTCTCTCAAAAAAAAAAAAAAAGAGATTGAGGCTGCAGATTTAAAATAGGTAGGAGGCATCCCCATGGAGTTGGTGAGGTAAGCCATGGAGGTGGCACCTGAGGAAAGGCATCTGCCTGCTTACCTGGTAGAAATGAAACAATCCAAGCTTTCCAATGCAGATGAGAACTTTAGAAATGAAATCACACAAGCAGTGAACTAAAATGAGAAAGGCAAGCCTTCTAGCAACCTTGTACCTGACATTTGTCACTGTTAACAGGCCTGTCATACACAAATCACTTGCACCCAAGGAGAACTGTGGATGAGTTGGTCACCCTGCACAGGTCTCTTTGTATCTGGGAGTTTAAATCAGGATCTTGTTACTTGCACACCATTTTGTAGTGTGTATTTGTAAATATATCTTGCCAACATATTTTATGCTTCAGTTAATTTAATTGACATCTAATTTAGTTGACATATAAAAATAAAATCAATTTTCAGACAAAATACCCATAAAATAAGTGAAATGCTATAATAGGTTTCAAGAAATTAAAATGTAATATATTTAGGCTTCTGTTCTAAAGCAATTTCATCTAGAATAGCAGATATTGTAGCTGTAATTTTTTTCTACAAATTCCTGTCAATTATATCATAATAAATGTTGCTACTATATATTCAGAAATGTATTGCTTGGAGTAGTTTGTCATAAAAAAATGAAAATTTTTGTTGGGGTTTTCTTTAAAATGCCGAAGAGCCTAAATATGAGTACTTTATGTATTGATGTTGAGGCCATAATTAAGCCATGACAATGATTATTACTTTGGATGTAAACACTATCAAAATTTCACTGGGTGAGTTCTTTTTAAATTAATGTTGAGTTGTGTTCTGTTTTTTATCCTGTTTGCCTATGTTTCCTGTCATTTTCCAGTTGTCTGCTTGAATTCTGTTTTCCAATAGTGATTTAGCAACTGATAATGTGTATTGATTTCAGTT